CCAATGAGTAGCCACACTAATAGCTACCACTTATTCAGCACCAAACTGTGTGCCAGGGACTGTGCTCAGCGCTGGAGTCCCTGAGGTGAGACAAACGCTGAAATGACCGTGATGTAGTGAGAAGGGTTCTCAGATAGGGGCACTGACAAGCTACACCCCAAGTAGCGAGCATGAAGGATGGCCAAGAACCGGGGTTTAAGGATAAGCGTGTCTGTAGCACAAGAGCTGGAGGTACGGAGCAAAGGCACGGAAGCCTGAAGACATCTCCCCGAGGAACGCTAACTGTTTCACAGGGCACCAGGGGGTGGGGTATTTGTAACCTGTGGAAAAGGTCTGCGGGGGGGGAGAGTGAAGGGAGCCAGACTGAGGAGGCAGGCTCGCAGATGGAGAAAGAGGGAAAGAGCACGGACTGAGGTGCCAAGTAACCGGGTCAGGTGATGAGCATGCCGGTGGTGCCCGTAAGGAAGGTGGGTTGGCGTACACACGCTGGAGAAGTCAGAGTGGGCAAGGCTACAGCTCAGAGGAAGGAGGCGGGGCACCTTGCCCCAGAAACCCACGGTGGGCGCAGGCTGGGCTGTAAACCCATGGGAGACAGAGGAGCAGCCTGCTAAGCCCATCATAAACTAGAAAATGAATTCTACCATCAGTAAATAGCACCTGAAAAATGAAATTCCAGTCTAAGAACTCTTCCACTCTAGAAGTTCCATTCTAAGATGTCTAGACACAAATCCCTTAATGCGGCTTACAAAGCCAAAGCCAAAACAAAACCCTGCAATGCAAGTTACTTGCCCACTTAAGGATTTTTTTAAAGATCCACCTAGCCAGTATCTGTCATAGTACTTGAGGTAATTAGAAGCAGCTGAGACCTTCCCAGGCAACACTGTCAGAGGGGCTGACACCCAATGAGGGGCTCTCTGTCTATCTGCGAGGCTAACTTGATGCTACTTTACTTTGGAACTTTCTACAGTGCCCTGGCCAAAGTGGGTAGTTACCGTCACCTCGAGGCTGTGTCTGCCTGCAAAACTAGCTACAACCACATGTGGTGTTCAATGCTACCAGTGTTTCTATAGTTACCGGTTCTCTCAAACTGGTATTTTAACCAAAATCTTGTGATAGTTAGCCTTTATGAACGTCCATCAATAAGTTTTTTGAGAAGGAATTAAAAGGAAAAGCAACTACTAATAATCAATTACTAACAATATGGTAAGTCCTAATGTTGTACAAAGATTTTACAAATCAATCTTGCTGTTTGTATTCAGATAATCTAACGAATAGTACATTTAAGCAAGCTACTACACAATATTAAAAATGGTCAGCGTCACTATGGATTCTGAATGGTCTGGGAAGAGGTCCATGGATGTGTGTGTGTGTGTGTGTGTCCCTGCAGTGGGTGACATGAACTCATGACACTACTTCTGAAAAGTCAGAGGCTTTACAACCCAATGGAGCAGTCCCGCTCTGTACACTTGGGCTGTCTTGAGATGAACTGATTCACCGTCCACTAGAGACCTGTCCTTATTGGGTTGCTATGAGTCAGAATTGACTCGATGGCAGTGAGTTTGGTTTTTGGTCTGAGCACATGCACACCTCCAGATACTGCTGACAGCAAAGTGTCAACAACTCTAATGAGATTTAAAGCATGTTACACCTCACTTTGGATAGTCCAGATGAAACTTCGTCTTCACAACATAGACATGCTCGTTTATATTTGTTGTAGTTAGTGCCACGGGGAGGTCCACAGGGGTGGGAGGGGAGAATGACACCCTGAGCAGTGCCCGGGGGACACCAACCCTGGAGATGCCACTGAGGAGGTCAGTGCTGATCCATGAAGCTGAGGCAGTATGCCATGGACTCGGTTCCGACCCAGTGACCCTACAGGACAGTGTAGCTGCCTGCAGGGTCTAAGGCTAACATCTTGACAGACGCAGACTGCCCTTTCTCCCATGCAATGGCGGACGAGTTTGAACTTCTGACATTTCTGTGGCAGGTGAGCAATGAACCATGTGCCATCATGGTTCTGTGTGTATATTCATAGCTGTGTGTGGACATACATATGGGTGTGCGCGCGCGCACACACACACACACACACACACGCACACACACAGAGGAAAGATCCTTTTGAATCACACTCCTGACAAATACTAAAGGTACTAGTTCGCTATGTGGGATCTTCTGCTTCCCGAGTTACCCCGCTATCTCTCGAGCCTCAGAAACTAGTTCCATGTGTGACCCCAGAGAGGACGGCCTCGGCTTCCTGCTTGCTTTCCTCCCAATTTTCCAGGATCTTTCAACTCAACTTTTCTATATGCTGCTTACACGCAACCCCATTTTGACGGAGTGGGCTCATTCTCATTGTTCCAGTAAACTCGGGGTTTGGCTGGTTACTGTGTATGTTTTCGAGGTAGGCAGGTAGGTAGGATCTGGTTGTGAGATAAACTAGGTCTTTGCCCACATGGAAGAAGCACACCAGTCTATTCGATCATGAGGTGTCGACAGGATCAGGAAATTGGCATCAGAAGACCCAAAACAAACACACAAACAAAAAACCATATTGTTGAGAACAAGGTGGGAGGTGCTGGAGCAGAGAATCCAAACCCATCTGAAGACAACGGGACATCCCCTCACAGAAGGGTCACAAAGAAAGGAAGAGTCAACCAGGGCGCAGTAGCAGTATAGCACCGATGAAACACACAATATTCCTGTCGTTCCTTGAGGCTTCCCCCGCTTCCTGCTATCATGACCCCAGGCCTGCCTTTCAGTTCTGGCTAGACTGGGAGCAGGTACACTGGCATAGATAAGAGCTCAAGACACCTGGAATCCAGGTCAGATAAACCCTTCAGGTACAGAACTGGGAGTAGAGATATCATGAAGATAAAGAGTAAGGTGGGAAGAGGAGGGGAGAAAGGGATCCGACCCATAACCACCACCCCCGTGCCCCTCACCCAGGTGGATGAACAACAAAAACGGTGGGGGAAGATAGTGGTCAGTGTATGATATGAAAATAATAATTTATCAAGGGGCCATGAGGGTGGGAGAGGGGAAAAGAGGAGCTGATAACAAGGGCTCAAATAGAAAATGTTTAGAAAATAATGATGGTAATATATGTTCAAATAAGCTTAACACAATTGATGTATGGATTGTTATAAGAGCTGTAAGAGCCCCTAATAAAATGATCTAAAAAAAAAAAACCCAACTAGGTCTTTAATCTGCTAGTACTTAGAACAATTTGATTAGTAATTAGGATCACTGCCCAAACTTTACGATAATTTTTGCCATTGGGATTATTTGCTTTCAAACAGTTTGGATTAACATTAATCTTAGGTGTAAAAATTATAATTCGTTAGTAATTAAAGCAGTTCTTTTTTCAAGAAACCAAGTTTTACTAACAGTACTTTGAATGTTGAGTAGACATTTACTGAGTGCTTATCAGAGGCAGACACTGTTTTAGACAACTGGGGATACAGCAGTAAATAAATCAGACCAGAATTCTGCCCTCAGGGTGCCAGGAAGGTTTTGGAAGACTGTAGGCAAGAGAGGATAGTGGCTTGGGATAAGGTTCTAACAGCAGAGGCCTAAAGAAATGGTCAGCGACTGGGTTGGCTGACAGATTGGCTATGGATATGAAAGGAAGGCCCCAGGGTGATGCCAGGGCTCTTGGCAGAAGCAACTAGAAGCATGGCGCGGCCACTTGCTGAGTTGGGGGAGACTGAAGGAGAAGCACGTTGGGGAGGAGGCTGAGGAACTCAGTTAAGGATCAGACGGACTGAGCATGAGCTGTAGATTTCTAGGTCCTGCTGTCAAACAGGAGGTTTACACATTCTCCAGTCTGGAGTGGAGGAGGTAGGTGTCAGTTGAGGGTCACACTTGGGCCTTGAGAGGGTAAGCTGGCACCTAGAGATGGCACTGAGTCAGATCACAGAGTGTGATGGTGCCTAACAAAGAAGAGAGCTCCAAGGAAGCATCTCCCTAGAACCAGTGTAAAGTTAAAGCCATTTTACAGGCTGATTCTGAGCCCAAAATGCACAGAACCTCCCACACCTTGAAAGCTCACTTCCATTGCCTTCTCCCCAACTTATCATTTTAAGGAGGTTTTAATTTACGAGAAAATCTAAGGAACTCCAAGAAGCCTCAGAAAACCCCTTAGGGGTCACCTTGGCAATGGGTCTCAAAAATAAGAAGGATTTTATGTTTCCAATGACATAGCCATTACACAGTTTACCTTAAATTTGCTTGACAGCAAATTATCAGTTAATTCATTTAACTAAGAATACCTTAATACATTATAAAGAAGTATAAAACAGTCTATGCAGAACATCGTTTGCCTGGCACAGGGCTCAGGGTGACCGGGGCAGGATGGCGGACTCTGCAGAGAGGATCTCACGCCACATAGTACGCAGAGTCATGTTTCAAAAGACGAAACATGAAAGCCCTTTTATACTTCTTTTTTTGAACTTTCCTTTTATGACAGTTTCCAATTTTGTATTCTCTGTGCCTCAAAAATTTATACTTCTCTCTGAAAAAGAAGTTTTTGGATTATCATCCCTCAAAACACAAAAATAAATTGCTATGAGTATCTTTCTTATAATCTCAGTCAGAAAATATAAAATGCTACATCCTACATAGTAATACTAAAATGACTACAAGCCCCCCACTGTCATGACCCCAGTTCTATCTCACAAATCTGGCTAGACCAGAGCACATACACTGGTACAGGTAAGAGCTCTCAACATACACAATCTAGGACAGATAACACTCCCCCACCCCTCAGGAACAGCAATGGGAGTAATGATATCCTGAAGGTAGGAGGAAGGTGGGGGAAAAGGGGAAAAAGTGGGAACTGATGGCAATGATCAATGTACAACACCCCCTTCCTCCCCCAGAGTGACTAACAACAGAAACGTGGGTGAAGGGAGACAGCAGGCAGTGTAAACTATGAAAATAAAAATAACTTATAAATTACAAAAGGTTCATGGGGGGGGGGGAGCTGATACCAAGGGCTCAAGTAGAAAGACGATGTTCTGGAAATGAAGGCAGCAACAAATATGCTTGATGCAAATGTTGCTTAAGAGCCATTAATAAAAATTTTTAAAAATGTAATCATTTAAAGGGATTTAAATCTCAAATCCCCATTTAAGTCTTGCAATTTATACTTCAAAAAAGCCATATGCAAACGAGTCACTCAACTGCTCGTTTTGCATGCTAATGTCTGGATACTGACCACTCTGACCAAAGCTATGGCTGCCTGGATGAGCACTGTTTGGGGGGCCTGGCTCATTCAGCATGCTGTTATCTGCACAGCTGAAGGTTGGGCTCTCAAATACATCTGGCTGTGAAGCAAACGCAGCGGTGCTGGAGCTGGGAAAATGTCTCAAGTCTACTGAGTCCAGAACAGAATTACAGGTGTGGTTGGCAAGATTCATGTGTCCGTGTCCTGAATGGTCAATCTCCCCCACGCTCTCATGACAGGAGGCTAGATCCACAGGGCAGGTAGGCAGCATGCTGGCATCAGAGTTACCATATAAGTCAGCGGGTGACATGGCTGGGGCTTCCATTCTGCCTAAGTCATTAGTACTGTTATAAATACATGCATTAGAAGCATTCAGAACAGGAATTCTCAGGAATGACGGGACACCTTGCGAGTTAGAGGGAAGTGTTCCTGCTGGAAAACCATGAGGTGGATTGGCACTGACTGAGTGTGAGTTGGGGTGGGTCCCTGAAGACCAGTGTGAAGCAGGTGGGTACACCATGGCGGGTGTGGTGGAGCTGGAATGTGGGAACACCCGTGAGACGGGCACAGGTGGGGAGCAGTAGGACTCTGCTTGACTTGAGGGTCTGGGCGGCTCCGTCTCAACTGCATGATGAGAAAACAAGTTTGGTTCTGTGGGGGGAAAATACAGTTTTTCAAAACTACAGGAAACAAAATCATATACAAACCATTATTTCTAAATGAAAATGATACAACGTACTAATAAAAATCTCAAGGAAATTGGTGTAAAATTTCAAAGTTTTTGATTAGCATTAACTGCACAAGCCCCAAATTATATACTCTAACACTTACTGTTTACATGTAAACTACTTTTGTTACATATAACCTAATTTTGCCAAACCATTTAGACATATATAATTGCTCTAAAATTAAACATGAACATTTAGCTTCTGAAGCTGTTATATGTGATTTTGGAAGGTGAAAGATAGAATTGTAATAAAGGGATTGATTCTAAGTAGCCAAACTCATTTCATATCCTCTACATTTAGGAGAAAATGGTGGGATGGAGTGAACCCTCACTAGGATGAATTTATAAATTTATATAACTTTTCAGATTCCTTCCCCCCTGACCCCAATATACAATCCACTCAATGCACTACAAAATCCCCAGTCAGGAAGAAATAATAAAAAAAGGATTCTGTATTTATTTGCATATAGTATGAATGTTGTGTATACTAAACCAGGACCAGGTACTGACCTAAGATTATAAGGGGAAGGGGGGAAAAAGGATCTTTGGCTAACTTTTTTCTATAATCGGCCAGATAATAAACATTTAGGACTAGCGAGCCTCTAGTCCAAATAGTTAGAACTATTCAATTCTCCTTGTCCTGCAAAAAAGGGCAGCCAGATATATGTAAGCAAGTTAGTGTGGCTGTCCTCGAGAAAAATCTTACTTATACATCTATCAGCTCGCCTTACCTACACAATTTCTCCCACAGCACTAATTAATCAAATCATTTCTACCACATGCCAGAATGTAGTGTCTCAAATAATAATTTCCAAGAGCATTCATATCTCAGTAAGAGTTTTTAAAGATGACTCAACTTTATTGAATACTGAGCAGAAGGAATTGTGGGTGGAAAAAGACACAGTTACTCCTTCCCCACAATGGAATTCCAGTATATTGCCCAAAGCACTGGTTTTCCTGATCACATACCTTTTTTGATGAATCCTGCAGCAGTCAATCCTGGGGGACCAGACCTCGGTCTTTCAGGAAAATTAACTGCTACGATAAAGTTTTTCCATTACAAAAGGTGACTTGAGAAATAGCATTATCAATTAAAATTTTTTAAATGAAATAATAAGAATAAAACCCTACTGACAATTCTGACACATAGCAACACTGTGTAGGGTTTCTGAGGCTACACATTTTTATGGGAACACATAGCCTCATCTTTCCCCTTTGGGGCAGCTGGTGGGCTTGAACTACCAACCCTTCAGTTAGCAGCCTAATGCCTACCCGACAGCATCAGCTACTTATATGCAAATTAACCTAAATTGCTCTTACCATGATCCTGCAATATCTTCTGGAAAAGTAGAGTTGTTTTTTGTTTCTTTGCTTTATTGCCATAAGTGTCTGTTGAGAGACGAACAGGAAAGCATGTTGAGACAGTTAAGGTTTATTGTGCCAACCTGGCCAATAAACACATGTGGGGTTAATTGAAGGGCAAGAGCCCTTCAAACACATGTGAGGTAAATTGAAGGCTCGGTGAGCCTCGCCTTTCTAGTTCTCGGGTCTTTTGCTTTCTGATGGTCGCACCAGGGTGCAGCTGCCTTAGCCGGTTCCTTGCTTCAGCTGTCAAGGCTCACTTCCTGCAAGACATCCCTGAGGAGAAGCCACATGGACCTACCCTGATGCAGCCCTGGGTGCTGGAGCAGCCGTGTGGAGACCCCTGCCAGCGCTGAGATGCTTACACGCTCACTGATTCGGCTTTCCTCCTGCAGTTGGCATCACTCCGTGTGTTTTGTGAGATGGAGGAGGACTTTGTGGATTGGTGTCAGACATATGGGCTAATGTTGGACTTGTGGGCTTGGGCAGCACTGGGTTGGGAGGTTTTCTTGATGTGCACTTACAGTTTATATAAAACTCTCTCTTATACATATGAGTTTCTGTAGTTTTGTTTCTCTAATGTACCCAGACTAACACACATGAGCATCATCACAGGCTCATTACAGGCTTCCTCTCCATTTCGATGTGCACAATTCACGTATCTGGTGCTCTGGGGACACAGTGGTGATCCAGTGTGCTACTAACCTCAGGTCAGCAGTTTGAAACCACCAGCTGCTTCTCATACAGCGTTATCGTCTTAGAAACTCACAGGGGAAGTTCTACCCTGTCCTGTAAGGTCGCTATGAGTCAACACTCACTCAATGGCAGTGAGTTTCATTTTATTCATATAGAAGGCACTTTAAAGGAACGTAATATGGATGTAATAAATATTATAGACTATGTAGGGGGGGGCAGAGATTAAGAGAAAGGGAGGTACCGATTGCAATGAATAGCATATTTCGCCAGGATATGAGTTTTATCAATGGTGTCCTGCTTTACCAATGTTAAAATCTGGTCACCTTATACAACATCTGAGTTAATAACATCAACTAATACAGTAAACAATACAGTCAAATAAGATAAGGACCATAACAAAGGCCATTCTGTGTGGCAAGTTTCCCAACAGTTAGAAGGGCACCGAAGGCTAAAAAAGCTCCTTAACAATAAGAAATTCGGAAAAGCATTTCATTGTTGGATGAGGTCAAGTTTGGCTCTGGTTCCTAGCAACCTGGGGTATAATGGAAGAAATACCGCCTGGTCTTGCTCCAGCCCCACACCCGTCCCTCTGCTGGAGACCCCTGCGGTGACCCCTATGTTGAATCCATCCTATTGAAGGTCTTCCTCTGGTCATTGACACTCTTCTCTTCCTAGCACGATGTCCTTCTCCAGAGACTAGTCCCTCCTGATAAGATGTTCTTGCCATCCTCACCTCTAAGGAGCACTTCTTCATTAATAAGCACACCAAACTCCCTGGCCTCGAGTCCATGCCAACTCACGGTGACCTTACAGGAAAGGGGAGAATGGCCCCTGTGGATTTCTGTGTAATTCTTTCATAGGAGTAGAAAGCTACATCTTTCTCCCTCGAAGTGGCTGCTGGTTTCTAACTACTAACCTTATAATTAGCAGCCCATCACATAATCACTACACCACCAGGGCTCCTCTTCCTGCATTTTAGATATGTTACAATTATTCTAGATTAACTGCCCTTCTTTACTCAAAAAGGGCATGAAGATCAACCAGTCAACCCCAAACCAACTGAAAATGTCTAGGAAAAGGAAAATCATGAATACGCATAACTCCATTCAAATGTATCTGACAAAAATTATTTGTTTCAGAGTAACTTCTAGAAAGTATATAAAATGTTACCAACCAAAAAAATCATACCTTTTTCATCTGGCAGGTATCTGAAATCCATGGACTCGCTAACTTCCTGGTCAGAAGGCCTGCGCAGCTGCATTTTCACGGTTACGGGTTCTATGATGGCTTTGCAATACGGCGGCGTCTTAAAAACAATGGCCACCTGACGGTGCACATCCGCTTGGGAAAAGACACCTTTTGCTTCCCAGTCGTTTAACACGAAACGAACCTCTATGTCATCTAGCAGATAAAAAATAACAACAGTGGGAAAACATGGCGAAATGCATCTATTAATCTGAAATGTATTTTGAATCCAATGAAACAAAGCCTGTAAATACCTTTCTGAACTTTGTCGCATAGTAGAAATATTTCATCTCCTCCTCTCACACTGCCGCAGTTCTTGTTCACACGACAAATCCTCAATTCGGCAGTATTCGGAGCACCTAAGTGTAAAGGAATTTTTTTTAAAATGGGTTTCTACATGGGTAACATATTTTATTCCTTTGTAAAGGGGAGAATTTCAGGGGGAAATTTTATAGAGCACACCAAAAATTTTAGTGTGTAGCTAAATTAAGGACACGAAATACTTAATGAGACACATCTGTCCCTTCCCATGCTCACGGCATTGACATCCCTGATTTTGAGCACGTGGCTTTATTTCAAGGCAATATGCCCTCGAGCTGAATCACTCGAGTTCCTGATTAGAATTTTCCCAACCCATGCTGCATCCTGTCACCAGATTCACCTTCCTAAAGGGTGACCACAGCGGCAGGAACACACCATCTTCTTATCCGACAGCGCTTTCTGGCACTCCAGGCTCTCCAGAGGATACTCTGGTCGAGTTCTGATGCTCGGATTCGGGAGGGCAATTTCATGGTGTTCTAAAACTCAGATACCCAAGTGCATACAGTGTGCATGGCAGTACCACTCACAATAGCCAAAAGGCAGAAACAATCCAAATATTCATAAACAAATGAATGGACAGTGTGGAATATTATCAGCTATAAAAAGGCCAGACCTTTTCATATATCCTACAGCATAGAAAAATCTTGAAAACATTATGCTAAGTCATAAAGGACAAATTATGTATTATGATTCCACCTAAATATCTAGAATAAACAAATACAGAAGGAAAGAATAAAGTTTTAGAGCTAGATAGTAATAATGGTTAAACAATGTGCATAGAATTAATGTCAACAAATTATACACTTAAGAGTTAAAATGGTATTTTGTTAAATGTATGCCATCACACTAAAAATTTCAAAACCCCAAATTTATAGCTAGTCATAGCCTTCGTTCTAGCAATAGTGCATCTAACATTTCCACTTTTAGATATTTACTCTAGAAAAATTATTTGCACAAGATCCTATAATAGGGTAACAATTTAATAAAATTATGCTATACTCATAACACACAGAGCTACTGAAAATAATAAAGTAGCTGAAGGGAAAGATAAATTGGTAAAAGAAAAACAAGTTTATAAAAAGGTCAATGATCATTTTTAAAAGTTGCTGAAAATATATTGTATAAATGCTGCTGCTGCTGTATTTGCATAAAAAATAAAGAAAATGATGAAATACAGTGGTTATTTTTAGAGAATGAAATTATAAGAGAGTTGGTGTTAGATATTACTGCAGTATTTACATTTTTCCTAAACTTGCTGTTTTTCAATTACCAAAATACTTTAGCAAATTCAACTACAAAAGTAAGCAAACAAGGTACTTACGATTATCATAAATTGGGTTTGACACCACAGGAGCTAGAGCCGTTGTCAAATTCCCATGTTCATCAGGGAGGAAAACTTGAAAACACAGCCTCACCACATTGAGGTCACAGTCTTCAATATCAAGCAGCTGCTGCTCAGGGACTGAGGGTAAAAAAAAAAAAGTAGAACAATTATATAGAACTAAACTCCCCACTAGCTCTTCTTTCCTACCCGAGAAGCATTCACTCCTGTAATAACAAAGTAAAATGGTCCATTGTCTCAAAAATGTCATTATCATCCTCCTCCTCATCAAATGGCCACCAGCTAACAATACTCATTAAATTATGGGCACATTCAGCAACTACTTATCCCAATCACCTAGGATTTACAGCCAAATCCCAAACTGACATCAACCGCAAATAGAAATTTTTTTTTTCCTTTTTTAACATTTTATTAGGGGCTCATACAACTGTTATCCCAATCCATACACACATCAATTGTGTAAAGCGCATTTGTACATCGTTTCTCAAAACATTTTCTCTCCACTTAAACCCCCGACATTAGGTCCTCATTTTTCCCCTCCCTCCCCGCTCCCCCCTCCCGCATGAGCCCTTGATAGTTTATAAATGGGTATTTTGTCATATCTTGCCCTGTCCGACTTCTCCCTTCATCCACTTTTTGGTTGTCCGTCCCCCAGGGAGGAGGTCACACACAGTTCCATGTAATCGGTTCCCTCTTTCCTACCCATTCTCCCTTTACCCTCCCTGTTTTGCCACTCATACCACTGGTCCTATAGGGCTCATCCGTCCTGGATTCCCTGTAGCAAATAGAAATTTTTAACACACAACAGAGAATGGGCATGAATTCATTAATTACATAATTATGTATTTGTTTCCACCATTGTGCTAAGAGATACATATAAATTATCCCCTAAATCTGCATAAGAATTCTTTTGTGTGTGTGTGTGTGTTCAAGAATTCTTATCACCCTCATTTTACAGATAAGGAATTGGTTTTAAAGAGAATATGCTACTTGTCTGGAGCTTGATAGTCAAGAAACGGAGAGTCAAACTCAGGGAACTGAGTTTCAGGAATTCAGAGTCTGTGGTCTAAAAAATGGAATTCTACTGGACAACTTTCTACGATGTTCTGTATAAAACTATTAATAAAATTTAGATCCACATTTTAAGGATGAAATTCCATGGGAATACTAGATGACCTCAGTAATAAATATGATCTTCAAATTAAATTTTTCTTTTTTAACCCCAGAGGAAAATTGTGCAATTCTGAAGAAATATACAAACTCACTCTTCATGACAGAATATAAGATCATGACAGTTATTAAACTGTTATTTGTAAAGGAACTCAATTCCAAGAGAAACTATTACTGCCTTTGTCAAAATATATCATAAAGATAACAGTAAGTCATAACTGACAGCCATCTTCTAAAAAAAGAAATAACATTAAATTACATAAACCTTTTTTCATTATCTAAAATTAAGATTTCAAACTGAACAGATGACAATGTACTTTTGGATTATTTGTATTTAAATTACATTTACACAGTTCACAATCGTTATCTCAACACTTAAAATTATACTAGTTATCTGCAATCTTAAACCCAGCATTTGAAAGCCTATAAGAATATACTTGTACAACTAAAAGGTCAAAAAAACATTTTACTACTAAATCTTACATCACAGCAGAATGTTCTACCGGCACAAGCATGTAGGTAACAGAAGCCTACCTCCGGACCACCCTCCCTTCCTGTGGCTGCTCTGACAGAAGTCCATCCCTAGGCCTTGCTTAAGGGGCCTCCAGCTAGCTCCACACCTCCAGCCTTTTGAGGAGCAGCCTAGTGCATTCACTATTGATTACTGACTTTTCAAAACAAATTTTTACAATAAGAGTTCAAGATATTCATGTCTCTCAATTACAAAGAACAACAGAAATACAACAGAAAAATGAAGTGTTCCTAACAATAAGTTTAAAAAAAAACAAATGTATATGAATGCATACACAAATTGTGGTATGGTTTTACAATGGATTGATACTCAGCAAGAAATGGGTAAATATGGATATACATCAGAACACGAATACCTCTCAAAAATATTATGCTGAGCAACAACAAAAAAGCCAGGTACAAACTAAAAATGTTTCCATTTGCATGAAATTCTAAGGAAAACATTACTCTCTACGGTAGCCAAAAAGCAGATTCGTGGCTGCCTGAGGCCAGAAGGCACAGAGACGTTTGGAAGGAATGAAAATCTCCCATGACATGTGGGGACTACCGGGGAGTAGACATTTGCATGCATCCTACTGCACGTAAAAGATACCTAAGCAACAATTCATTAAAAATATTTGACAATAGTACATAAAAATTTTTTTTTAAATAAACCAAAAATCTTAAACATTTCATCACCAAATTATCAACTGTACTTGCTTCTCTAAAAATCCCTTTTTATGGAATTTCATTCTGAATTCTTTCAATGTGTGGGAATATAGTGAGCACACCAGTAGAATGACGTCGATTAGAAACCACGGAGAGGCAGGAACTATAACTGCTCCCTGTTTTTAAGCCAATGCAGGAGGCAGTATCAGGCTTCCTGTACTAACTATTCAAGGCCCACCTCCAGAGCTGCTGCTGTTGTAACCTGATTCTCGGAGATGGGAGGATCATTTCTCTCTCTCAATCAGTAGGGCACTTGATCTACACCTCTTTGCATATTTAATTTTGTTTTAGTCTTACATGCTAATCATTTATGTATCCTCTTCTATCCTATTGGGTTAAAAGCAGAATTGGTGTCTTGACATAGTTTTGCATCTCTAATAAATGTGTAACAACATAGTGGCTACTGTCACCGAGTCGATGCTGACTCATAGCAATGCTAGAGGGTTTCCGAGAGTAAATCTTTATTGGCGCAGACAACCTCATCTTTCTCCAGTGGAGCAGTTGGTGGGTCTGAACCGCCTACTTTGTGGTTTTCAACACCTAACCCACAGCTTCACCGGGGCTCCTTCAATTAGTGAGTGAAACATTAATTACAGAAAGACGTGTTGAACAATCAACCCTTTAGATATTTTTCTAAGTTGCTGAAGAAAACGATATGTAAAATTAAGAAAGGAAGTTCTGCTTTTGGAAATGGCAATCTAAGTATGTAAGTGGGACCCCTCTACCCCCAAAAGAAGTACAAAACATAAACCAAACTTCTCCAAAAGGTATTAGGGAGCTTAGAAAGTCATTAAAAACCACAGGGCCAATACTTGAGAAAAATAAATTCCGAGAGAGAAGCTCACAACAAGAGGCCACTTTAATCCTGGATATATCCTACCCAGTTTGGAAGAGGATGAGAAACTCTAATACAATCAGTAGACTATAGGGAAAAAGAAAGGTTTAGGGTTGGCCAGGTATGGAGGAGCTGGTAAGTGCCCACGCTTTGGCTGTGGGCACAGCTATCCCCTAGGAGTGCGGTTAACTGGAAATCCTACTTCACTGGCCAATTGGTCTACATTTGCTTCAATATTGTGCTGCCTTAATTAGTACTTCTGACTAATAAACTCAGTATCTAGTTGCCTTAGTTTCTCCCCATTGCCCCTTTTCTAAAGATGCACTCCTTCCTGCTCCTGTTTAGAATTACACTTTTTTTTTTCAAGGTCCATGCTTCTTTAATTCTGAGAACTAGCATTTCTCATTGTAATTAAAAAAAAAAAATTTACTAGGGGCTTATACAATTCCCATCACAATCCATACATACATCAATTGTGCAAAACGCATTTGTACATTCATTGCCCTCATCGTTCTCAAAACATTTCCTCTCCACTTAAGCCCCCGGCAT